AGAATGCTTTGTGAGAAGTAGTCAAAATACCTTTTAATGGTTAAATGGTCCCAGTTGCTCACAACTAGATGGAGGAGGGTACCCTCAATGAATCTAGTAGAGCTGAAAACATAAGCTACAAAACAAAAATAATTTTTAATCAATCAACCCCCAGAGCCAGCATATTTGTTATTTGTTGACATTTAAACAGCTTTTATTTACAAACTCTGCCCTTTTTTGACCCTGGTGTTGTCTAGGTTGACTAGACCTAGTTGCTGTAGGTTGACTACAGCAATCCAAAGATGCAAAGATGGAGCTTGTAACAGATGTGCAGAGTGGCCAAATCCGACCTTTTTGGGCAAACTGTCATCTCTTCATGGAAGAACAAATGCAAACTGGAAAAGACCATTGCTTCTTCTGTTGCTTCACAGAGCTAGTGCAATTTTACTACCCACCAAACTGACCCAGGTATTTAGTTGCTCTTGTAACAAATACTGAGACTCAGCAGAATTCGGTGTGTGCAGAGCCTTGTCCCCTGGGGCCAAGCTTCCAGAGCCCAAAGGCACACCATACTGGATGGGTTGTCTCAGCAAGGACACAGGGACTAAACCCTAGAACCATTTTCAGTTGGTTTTACCTCTCATCCTAAGGATGTTCATTAGAAATACCCCCAAGCACCAGCACAAAGTCCTCCTTTAGGACCAGAACAGGCTTTTTGCACAAGGTTTGATTTCTGCTCTCTGAAAATCAGTTAAAATCTGTTCATGTCCCATCTGACGTGGACTGGTGCAGGTGGACTGTAGTCACTGCTCTCTCCTCTGGTACCACATGCATTTGTCAATCGTGTACAAAAATGCAATGGTCTCCAAAGTTAAGTTAGCACAATACTATCATCCCTTTGCCCTATCCAGTCCTCTCAAGAGAACTGTTCAGAGGGGAGCAGAGTTAGTATATATGGCAAATTTCTACCATATCCTAATATAAAAAACATTCATACAATCTTGCATATCTTACCTGTGGCATTCAACAGTACAAGGCTACCAGGTCATGATGTGCAGAGCCATTTGTACAATATTTCCACTGTTACATAATGTTTTTATTCTGTGGAAGGCTGGTGGTGTAATGCAGACACTGAACAGATCTCAACATCAACCTGTCTTCACTTTAGTGACTGCAGAGCTCTAGTACCCAGGAGGTCTCTCCCTGGCAAGTTCTGCTGGACATGCCAGTAATGGGCTGCGCCTCACATCTGAAATGTTGGATGAATCACTAACCTGCAAGAACTGAAACCAGTTCTCCTTTTAACACCAACAAGATTTTTATTCTCATCTATTACACTAGACACTGATCTCAGAGCATCTGATCTGAGGGTATTTATAGCAGATATTTTCCCAAATGATGACAAGATTGTGAAGGAACTGTCAGATGCCAGAAATAGGAAAAAAATGCTTCAAACTTTTAGTCCTTGCTCCACATTTATATGTTTTTCTCCTACGATTGATTCACCACAACTATCTGTGAAGGGTGGAACCACCTCTAAGATGATATCTGCCCAGTGTGATATCACAGAATCACAGAATGTTAGGGATTGGAAGGGACCTCAACAGATCATCCAGTCCAATCCCCCTGCCAGAGCAGGAACACCTAGATGAGATTACACAGGAAGGTGTCCAGGCGGGTTTTGAATGTCCCCCTAGAAGGAGACTCCCCAACCTCCCTGGGCAGCCTGTTCCAGTGCTCTGTCACCCTCACTGTAAAGAAGTTCCTTCTGAAATTTAAGCGGAACCTTCTGTGTTCCAGCTTACACCCATTGCCCCTTGTCCTACCATTGGACATCACTGAGAAGAGCCTGGCTCCATCCTCCTGACATTCACCCTTAACATATTTATAAACATTAATGAGGTCCCCCCTCAGTCCCCTCTTCTCCAAGCTAAAGAGACCCAGCTCCCTCAGCCTTTCCTCATAAGGGAGATGCTCCACTCCCTTAGTCATCTTGGTGGCTCTGTGCTGGACTCTGTCAAGCAGTGATATACCCTGTGTAAGGGTATATCCCAGAGCCATGTCAAGCAGCTGAGGGAAGACTACATGAGGGTACACCTGAGAGGGCACCCATGGCACAGAGATGCAGCCTGGGGGACATAGGTGCTCCCTGCTCACCACCCAGGTACTCAGCCTCACCTGGCACCCAGGAAGATGTGGTGCTGTTCTGGAAATGCATGAGCTAAAACACTGTGGCAGGAGTAGGGATAAACACTAATGAATGACCCCACAGCTGTCTGCCTAAAGCCATGTGGAAAAGGCAAGGTTCGACTCCTGTTCGTGTGGGTGTTCATGCTACGTACCATTACTGGCCATGCTGTGGAGAGGCTGCAGCTCTAAAAAGACATAATAAATGCACCACTCAGGCCCCTTTTGTAAAGATGTTAATGAGACACAGAAATGTTGCAGAATGGTTTGTAAAAGAATATGACTTTAATTCTTCATAATACCAGGCACGATAATGGCCAGACACAGGGGATTCAACATTTACACTGATATGCCTTAATCAGGGTAATGATTTGTACTTTACTAAAACATATCTGCCATAAAGTAATTTGGCTTGAAAACATCAGAGAGTTTTCCAACTCATCAGTATTTGTTCAAGTGCATAATCAGCCTCACCCTTAATATCATGCTTGATTGCTCATTTTGCCTGGTTTCTGCTTCCAGACAAAAGCAAAAAGTTCTACCTTCCTCTGCCACAGCAAAGAGACTTCTCAGGGATTTTTCTGTCCCTGGGAGTATGTGCACGCTGTTGCCAAATCACCTGGCAATCCATTGCCCATGAAAGATTTGTTTTCATGTTTTCCAAAAGGTTTTCTTCCTTTCCTTTGCTGTTCAAGCATTTTCAGACCATGCGTGGCAGAGACGTCTCTCCTGTCATGTGGGCTGTGCAAGGTGAAGTCCCTGATCTGCAGTTATTCACTGCTTCCCACTAACTCTTTCCTTCATGCCACCACATCTCAGTGGGAAAACAGACTTCATTGCTCATCCACTCCAACACCTTTTCCAAGGAGGTGTTATGGCTGAAGTGCCCCCTGGCACTCCACCGGCGTGATCCTAGTTGAATTTTTTTGTTATGCTGCACTGTATCTGCTTGGGGCCAGTTCACCAGGCAATCCAGATCACGTTGCATGCTTAGTGAAGCTGCAAATAGCGATGA